GCGGGCGGGCGGGCGGGCGGGCGGGCAGCCGTGTGAGTGAATGTTGTCTCGTTCGCTACACACAGGCTCCGTGCGCCGCCGAGGACATGCGCACATAAGCGGGGGCCGAACCGCTGCACCCTATAGGAGACGGCCCCCCCTGGAACCGGTTTCTCCCCACGCCTGGCAGCCCTAGCGCTGCGAAGTTCTAATCCGGGCCGTTGACCAACTGGCAACTGGTACCAGGCCGACGGCCCCGATTGGCCCGGGATCTTAAAATTTTTAAATCGCGGGGCAATCCGAGCTGTCGGGCTGGTAGGTCCGCGGACGGCCCCGATGCCACAAGTACATTCGGTTCAAGATCACAGTCAAATCCGCTCTTTCCCGACTCACTCAAATTGAACTTCCACTCCAGAACGCAAAGAGAGAGATCCACCTCAATTACCTTGGTCGGAATCACGCACACAGACTATTAGCTCTAGCCTTGCTCTTCTAACCTTCTTTTTATAACTTTTGGCTTTTAGTCTTTGGTCTATTTACACAGCAGATTAAACTGTTCCAACTCCTCTAAACCTCCCTATTGCAACATTTAGATAGTCTTCTGGCCCTTTGGGTTCTATCGTCTGGAACTCCGCAGATTTGAAAAGTGTCCCCTGCGCAAGGACAACACGCAGATTTGAAAAGTAGAACAGATCAAATAGAGCAAGCCTCCACAACACGATTGACGGCAGCAGAAAAAGAAACGATATCGAGGTGTACAACAAAGGTACGATTCTAAGATCCACTCTATTTTAAGTTTTAACCCGGAATGGAAAGTCGGTCACTTTAGCCGGCCCAGAGCGAAGCACCATTGACAAGCCTTGTTGCTAAGTAAAATCAGCCCCTCGTAATCCATAAACTGCTCTCCCTGCCTTCCTGGGAGTACCTCTTCTCTTCGTTTTCTGCTTTCACTCTCCTGTCCGCGGAAGGTGATGGGCTGAGAAGATTAGCCCGGTTAGGCCAGCGGATGTCGGGTTGACTAACAGCATTTGCACCTCCGCTCCGACACAAAGATCTTCTTCACCCTGATGAATAGGCCTACAGCTTACAAGTATGCGTGTGTTCTTTCGTACGACTGACAATGAGCTGACCACTAACGTCAGCGAAAGGGTAAGGCCGCTAACGTCAGCTTCGTCTGTGAAAAGGTGTCTGGCATGTAGCCGAGCTCGTACAGCAAGACGACGGTCTTCCCCCGTACACGACGACTGTACTCGAACCGGAAGATAGCTCGTACACATTGTAACCAGTGTGCCATATGTTCGAGGGAAGACGCGGTCGCAGTGGGAAAACAGAGAGAGAAGCATGGAATACAGTAGGGAAGGAAAAAAGACACGAGGGAGGAGAGAAAGAGATGGAAGAGAGCGAACCTGCTCTTTGACGTGAGACTTCACCGACTGAGTTGATGCTCTGTCCGAGGATACCCGCGACGCTGATTCACTGTGAACCCCAGATCGAGAACAAGACCGTACTCGCGGCCCACCTGCAATAAAAACCAAACACTTACAGGTATCAACCACCCACACAACATGCAACACGCCTATCTCATTCCACCTTCTCTCTCTCTCTCTCTCTCTCTCTCTCTCTCTCTCTCTCTCTCTCTCTCTCTCTCTCTCTCTCTCTGTGTTGTACTCATCCTTCTCCCTCATCCTCCTTCCTCTTCCATCCTCGCTGCCTCCACATCCAAATTTCACCACCTCCCTAATCCGAGCCTTCTGCCCGTTCTGCTTCGAATCAACTGTCTTAATCCTCAGCCTCGTATGCTCGCCTGCCTCATGTTTTCCGTCGTTCTCATCTTTTACCCTCTGATACTTCTCGCCGTGACTGCATTCTCTCAGTAGTGTACCTTAAAAAACCGACCTTCGTTTTTGCCGCCTCCCTTCAACTCTAGGGGATTTTATGGCATTAGACCCAGCCCAGCAATCTTTCCATGACAAAAAAAACGTCATACATATCCATGTTTCCAAGGGGAAAAACGACCCTACTTACTTATCCTCAGAATGCAGCACGGAGTTGCCAGTGTTACTTCAGGCCGTCAGGATGAGTGATCCGCCTGCATCCGTGCAACGCGTGCAACCATGGCGAGGATCCGCAACGGTCAATTTCTGGTGCTAACGGTCCCTGGCCATAAAGACAACAAATCTACAGAAAATCTAGGTCCATCTCGCAAATCTCAAAATAACGAAAGCCGAAAACAAAAGAACAGAGAGAAAAACAGGTAGCAAAAGCAAGCACACAGAATACGTTACGAAAGCCGAAAACACAAGAACAGATAGAAAAACTAGCAAAAGCAAGCAGCAACTCGACAGGTGAGCGAACACAGAATACGCGCGTTAATGGACGAGTTATCACCGGCAAGAGAAGCCGATAAACGCAGAAGCAGCGTAAGGAGGTCCGTAGACACGAGCAGACACAGAGAACGAGAGGCAATAGAGGATTGCAGGACAAACAGAGGAAAGAAGTGAGGGCCAAAATGAACAGATAAAGAGAAGTCGACATGGGAAGAAGATAGCACCCGAGGTCTACACAGAGGGGGGTAAGAAGCACCCAGGAATAATCGAGCAAAGCGAGACCGATAGAGGAAAACAGGAGAGAAAAACGAGCACGCAGATAATGAGAAGAAGAACGGGGATCGTACGTCGAGAGCCAAGGGGCACTGCTTCGAAACGTGAAGAACTGGCAAGAGAGAACGAAAGAGATAAAGAGAAGCATAAAAAAAGACCCAAAGAGACCGATAGGAGGAAACGAGAGCGAACGAAATCCAACGAGAAAGAAGTGCCTGAGTACAATAATATAGCATAACTGCCTGAATGAAATAAGATAGGAGGGGAACTCAACTCCACCTGGCCTATGGTAGGTTTCGGCAAATTGGAAAACACAAAAGAATATCTGCTGCAGACGTCACCACAGGATAGTTCACAATTTGGGTTCAAGCGAGGCGAACGACTTCGGCTGTGGGAAGATAATAGTGAAAACAGGAGCCAACTGGCTTTCGTACAGGCTTCGAAAGCTCTTGCATACATAACCAAGCGTACTAGACTCAGCTTACACGCACGTTTTCACTACTCAATATACTTCTTCTTCTTCTTCTTCTTCTTCACGTAGAATTCAGTGATAAAATACTGATAAACCAGGACGTCGGAAGAGATTGCGAACGATCTTCACATAGGATTTAGTCATACAATAGAGATAAAACAGACGTCAGAAGAGACTGACAACGACTTCATTGGTCGAAGAGAAGCTAAACACCAGGACACTCAGGTCAGTCGAGGGGATAAGATGGAAGAGCCTGAAGGCGATGTTAGAAGATATACGGATATGACCAGAAGCAACTATCAGCAGACAGCTTTAGCAAGCACGGAGCAACGTAAGGCGCTGATCTCTTCTACCTCAAATACCGCTCGAAATACCGATGTTAGAAGACGGACGTACGGGTGTGCCCAGAGCAGAAGTCCACATCACCATCCCACAGAAGCGCCATCTGTCTCTCTCCCTCTCCACCCTTCTCACTGTAGAAAACAAAATGAGCTCTTGCATGCATGCTCTCCTTTACCGCAGTCTTCACCCTGCACTACTACACGTCTTCAACAGAATAGAACGTACGGTTAGTATTGCTGTATATAGACTGAAAGTAGCCCGGATGCAGCTATAACCACCGTGCGTTCTGTTCGTAAGACGACGTAGTAAGGGAAGTACTCGCTTTCTTCGTACTTCGCTACCGGTGCCCTACTTCATTCGTCAGTTCACCACTTGCTCATGGTGCCCTCCTTTTTCGCGATGGGTTGAGGAGTTCTTAAATGTGCATGATCTTGTGGATATTGAGGTTATTCTTCCTACATTAAAATATACCGTTGTCATGCTGTTCTGGAGGACAACGCCAAAGGGAGTCTCTATAAGATGTCCTCCCATATCTACGCATTACATCGATGTTCAGTAGTGTTATATGATAAAGGGAAAGTCGTACGATATATGAAAGGTTCGTATAAGAAGATGAATGATTATACGCGCAACAAAGATCTAGACTGTGAGGTTGAATTTCTTCAGTATAGAGATACAGAGAAAAACGTTCAAGCTCTCGTGGACTACAGGTAGTCAGTTTTTCAGTTTTTCCCCACACAAGCGCGACCGCATCATTCGATAGACAATTTTTGTTTATTCTATCTAAAGGTTAAGAGCGACAATGCGTACGCAGATAAGTAATATATTACACAATAATAAAGAAAGGGCGACAATGCGTGCGCAGATAAGTAATATATTACACAATAATAAAGATCTACACTGTCAAGATGCATTTATACACTAAAGAGACTGAAAGACAACGGTTCAAGCGCTGTGGATTTGCTCGGTTTCCCAGCGGAGCCGCATGACCAACCCATGTGATATAAGTTATTACACATTTTAATTGGTAATGAGTAACAATGCCTACCCATGCTACGGGTGATAGGTCATTGATTTGTAAAGAACGTCGGTCATTCATTCATGGAGTCTGACAAATACTTAGCAGGATAAACAGAGTTGCCGGTTGGCGCGGTCTCTTTCTCTTCTATGTAATGAGAAGTAGAGAGGTAACTTATTTTCCCTGCCTACCTTCTCCATTGGCTGCAAACCATTCGTCTGCGTCAGAGGACTCTGCTGGTTGACAAAAGTCGTAGTACATGGGAGCACTTATGTGCTCGTACGTCGGGTCCACCTCGAACAAATTGACTTCCATTTCGCTCCGTTGGATACAGAATTCTGACTTCTCTCCTTATTTTTAATCGACGCAATCACGCACCAAACAAGAAAAAGGGAATCGCCGGCGCTTGTCCCGTCTCCCCGTCAACTTCCGAATGCACGCCGAAAAGTTGCACAGCAGCCGAGACGAAAAGACTCAACGCTCGCTAGCTCCGTCGAATCCCGACCTCCCACTCTCTCCCGCGCTTAATCCATACAAGCGCGAGCCGAACAAGGGAAACGGGTACTCTCCCGCTCGGCGTTTGCAGGCCCGGAGAGACTGAAGGGAAAACGTTTTCAGCTCCGTTGGATTCAAACTTCCAACTCTTTCCCGCGCTGATATCAATACAGTCACGTGCCAAAAGCACTTCTCCGCTTTAACTCTGCCAATGCACCGACAACTCCACACCGACGAGACGAGAAGAAAACGCTCGCACTCCTTCCCTTCTGCACTGCTACTGCGTTTCAACAAAGCTCTGCACTACTGCGTTTAACCAAAGCTCGAGCCCTCGGTGGCTGAAGAAACGAACGGCAGTTCACAGCGAACCTCCCTAGTGACGACGAGTCTTTGGACAACGAACAGCGAGGATTCTATGGGATCCACTCTTCCTTGTTCTCCCTGCCAGGTGACGAACAGCGGTCAGACCAGCGGGACGCTCGCCTCTCTCCGTATCATCGACACCACCTCCACATATTCTCCACGTGTCGATTCCGCATTAGCGCTTATGCCGCACCAGGAGGATAGCAATCGTAAGCAACTACAGGGAGAGCAATCAGTCAGTCGGTTGCATCGCGCCTGCCGTCTGACGTGGAAAGACGAAAGAGCAATCAAGCGATGAAGGGTAATCAGCCCGTTGCACACTGTTTCGGGAAGACGGAAGAGTGAACAACTGAAGAGGAAAGAGAGAGAGAGAGGAAGACAAAGGGAGTGAAAGAAGGGTTTCGTTCGACCAACGTCCTCCCTCCCTCATTTGCGCTGAATTTTCACGCCACGAGGAGAAAGAGAATGCGGTTCGCCCAACGGGAAAATCGAATCAGTTGGTCGAGGGAGGAGGGAGCGAAGAGTAACGCTAGCTTTCATCAACGTTCATGTGCAGGTGGATGCCCGTCACTGACCACCTCTACGATGCCAACCCTGAGATGGCGCTCGCATCTGCCTGTGCCTTTTCCGTGCAATGCAAGATTTCGCTTTTGTCCGTGCCTAGGTAGAAGATGAGTCGACCCATTACATCGCGATTCAGTGAATGGCACTAAAACAACTTACTTGCGAACGTCCTTCTCATTATCCATCTTGCCATATTCACAGCAACGGCTTCTGCAGAACAGAAACGAATCGATGGATACCACACGACTTGCGATACTACGCCTCTAGGCACGCGCTCTAGCCACTCAAGAGTAGAAGAAAGGACTTGCCAGCCAGTTGCCCTAACCAACGTCAGAAATGCTAATAACACGTCGCCCTAGTGATAGACCGTTCTCTTGGGTGCTGCAAAACTGCACTTTTCAGCGAAAAGACCGGCAGATAGATAGACACACGAATGGTACAGTGCGTTCTCTCTCTGCTCGTTGCTGCCGACTCCTGCTCCTAGCACAAGAGATCAATAGGTTGCCCTGCGCCACGCCTCTTCCCTCCAAGCACAATAGGAGACGCGTATTTCCTCCCATGAGCACAAACGAAATACCTCCTCGGAAACAGCCGATAAACGCACAGAGGAGCGACAAACAAACGAGAACGATAAGTGCGACTTGCGCTGAACAGACAGGAGAAGACGGTGAAAGGGCCAGCGAGCAATACGAGTGCCGTCGGCATCGACGCCCTATGGACGGGCCATGACGCGGGCAGAGCGGCGCGGCGGCCGGCAACACGGCGCGAGTTGGGCTCGACGAGGAAAGGCGGGGCGGCAATTGGGAGACAGGCGCGGGAGCGGGGGGCCGGCCTAGTGTGCAGAGGTCAATCGAAATTCGAAGCAAACAGTGGGGACTGGCGCCAACCCACTCAAGGCAGCATTTTCCCTCCCCCGCCACTGAACAGGGCAAAGCCTGTGCAACGGACAAAAACTAGACACCCCAAACTGGAATGGTTGTCAAGAGTCACGCACTACGAAAAGAAGTGAGGATGGGGAAAAAAAGAAAAAGAAGAAAACTGAAACAGCTGCAATCTGCGTCCTTCAAGGAGAATCGACGGCGACGGGCCGAATGCGGCCAATGTGAGGGCTGAACAGGGGCAAGGTCCCACTTGCACGGATTAAGAGATTCTGGCCGTCGATCTTTTCTATGTACGGTCAATATCGCTTAATTCGTGTAAGTGGGACCTAGCCCCTGAGACGGGCCAAGGGCCGATGCCACGCCGTCGCAGTCTTTCATCTCTCAGGAGTGTTGATTGTCGGAATCAGATTGCCAGGCCGAGTACTGTGGGTGACTGCCATCCGTCTAGTATCCCACCTCTACAACAACCTGGGCTCGGTCGTCTTGCGGCGGTTACTCACGTGAGAAGTTTCGGTCGTCTTTTGCGACTAGATACGGGCAGGCCCACTGGCTATATTTCCGTGTGAAAAAGACATGAAGCTTATCACAAGCATAGCGCCGGTGGGACCCACCGTAGCGCTCTGCCCTTGTGAGGAAAAGAAAGGCATGAACGCACGACAGCACTACACTCGGTTCACTCGGTTGTCCAGATGAACCCCTCTGAAGACCCCACCCACCCTTCCTCTTATCTTTTTGCCCTGGCGCACCCCCACCCCACCTGTCCTACCCTAGTGTTAACCACCCAGGACCATCACCCATTGCCATCTTGGCGGGGTGACCTGACCAGACAGCGGTTGCAGGTACCGGGGCTAAGCAGAGATGCCTACCCCCTGCTCAGCCCTGGTTGAAGCAGACGCCGTGCAAGCCTGATTGCACGGGGACTTCGGGCGCTAGGTTTGAACATGCTACTACAGGTCTTCATGAGGGTGCAGAGTGACTCCCATCTAGCTTAGTTGTGTGGTGATGCTAGAGAGCTGGGTATCCTTTATTCCCTCGTATGTCTCTGGAGCCCGTTCCGGCCATGACACCCTCGACATCCCGTACTAAGGAACTGCTATGCCAGCCTCAACCCTATGCTACGTACTAGGAGGATAGTCAACCCTAGGTCATGAGTTATGGACTGAGTTTCTTTATCCTTATGTTGTCTTTTTACTACAGTGTACTATGATGTTGATGGTAGAGAGATGGGGATACTCCGTTCCCCGGAGCCCGTTCCAGCCCCGCGGTAAGGTGCAGTATCTCCTGACACCCCCGACATCCGTACTAAGGACTGCTATGCCAGCCTCAACTCTAAGGTATGTACTAGGAGGATAGCCCACCCTCAATCATGAATCATGGACTGTATGTATTGACCCTAAATAATCTCTAAGCCCTATGTTGTATGGTAATATGAGAGCAGACAATCCTTTGTTCCCTCGTATGTCTCTGGAGCTGGTTTCGGCCCTGCAGTAAAGTGCACTATCTCCTGACACTCCCGACATCCCGTACTAAGGAACTGCTATGCCAGCCTCAATCCTTTGACCATGTACTAAGAGGATGACCAGCCCTAGGTTATAGTCTGCTATCGAACACAGGACCTTATATGAATCGTGCAAGTGACCTAACCTATTGACATACACTATGAAATAGTATGTAGCTGTGCTATGCTGGGCTCAAGTAAACCGAACTATGTGAGCCACCCCGCAGTCTTATGACAACCCCGTAGACCAAGAACATCAGGATACCCACCATCGCCCAGTCCCCACATACAACAACCATGGACTACCCCTTGGGTGGTGCGCAGGCAGTGTCTGTAATAACTTACCTGCGTCATCCCAAGGCGGTGTGTGTCCAGTCGTGCGTCATTCTAACGCCCTGCCGGTGTCCATGCACAACGCTGCGGAGTTTTAAACTTGCAACCTCATACCACAATGCGCATTTTCAACCGGTGCTCTAACTACTGAGCTACATCAACTAGAGGGGGGGGACGTCCCAGTTGGGACATGTGGATCTGCATGTCATACGTTTTTGGGTCCTCAGCCTCCAACAAACCTCATGCGGTATGTACGGACAACCCAATAATGGCTCAGGCGCTACGTGCGGATGCCATATGGGTAATACCGTATCAGAACAAAACACCTTACAAAGGTGTTTCTCCGTGTTTTTACATCTGACATAACAACCTTTCGGTTAAACCACCAATAACTCTCAACTATCAAGTCTGAGCCTCGGTCGACAAGTATACCAGATTTGCGCCGAGTTTGGAGTTACCGGACGCTCACTTCCCCAACCTTCGTTTTTCTACAACAAATGAAAAAACTCAAAAAAATGGGAAAACGAACGAAAAAACAACGAAACACTAAACTTTTTTCTTTATGAGAAAAAACAAAATGGAAATAAAGTAGGAAAAATAGTTATCTCCATCTTTTTGCGTTGTTGGGGGGGGGAGGAGGGGGGGTGGCAAGGCAGGAAGAGAGATAAAAAAAAAAAAAGGAAAATGAGAATAAATTTTCTCACCTGTCGCTGGAGATTCATTCTCATTTCAAAAGTTACGAACGTCGTGCTACTGCTATCGAGCGTATCGGTCTCATATTAAGATCCCACATGAGAGGGAAAGAGAAACAAATAGACACAGAGAGAAATAAGGAGTCAGCGAGTTGCCGTTGTCGAGCGCATTGGTCCCACATGAAGATCCTTCAATCCGCGTTACCCATAATTTTGACATTCAATACGCAAAAGCGTTGGAGCAGAGTCCCTCTGGCCAAGTGCGCCAACTATACCTCTCATGAGCCTATGCGACAAAATAGAGCCTTGCAAGGTAAAACTTACCTCCACCCGCTGCACAGGGACCCTAGACACGACGATTTTTTTTTATTTTTATTTTTTTTTTCTCTCTCTCTCTTTGCATGCGTAATGAATCTTCACGTTTATTTTTTTTAATGAATAAGATTTTTTTTTTCTTTGTTATTTTTTTATGAATAGTTTTTATTTTTATGCTTTATATATTATGTTCGTTCCTTCAACTTCGATCAGGCATTCACTTCCCCGACCCCTATTTAGCGTGACGCATTAATGG